GAAACGACACGAACCACCAAGAGAGAAAGGAGAACGACCAACGCAGACACACAACGACGCTACAACCATCCAAACCCTCGATTGCCTTCTGTTCACAGTACTGCAAAAAGAGACAAACACACCTCAATACGATGACCGAAATACCCAGCAGCAACTCAAGGCAATCCATGCAAGGGTCAATCACCAAATGCATATTCTCCGTCACCATGGTAGCGGTCACAATACAAGCAATCTCCAGCTTTCAAATAATTACCCCAACTCTCCGGAAGTATCCATCTGCTGCCAATACGATTCAACATCATAATAGACGTGGTAGGCAGCAACAGCCATTTCCATCGATGTTATCGCTATCCTCAGAGAAGAGTGAAGCTGAAGAACAAAAAGCATACGACAGCTTGTATGAATTCTTGACTAAGCGTTCGAATCAAGCTTCTGCTGCTGCAAAAGCACAGCAACAGCAGCAGCAACAAGACAAGGAACGAAAAATAGACCGAATTCGCAAATGGGTCACCAAAAGCAGCAGTAGCAGTAAAATGGTCCAGCCTTTGCGAGTGGAAGATGGTTCGGTCATGGAGGACGTAGAACCGGAACTTACGACTCGGCTGGATAAAGTCTGGTCGGCCATGCCCACTTTGGAAGACATTTTGTCTAGACGCACTCGAAAAAAGGACAAAGCTTCTATTGGTGGTAATGACAGCAACAACAACAATGATGATGATTCATGGTTCGAGGCAGAAAAACAACAAATACAAGCCGAATATGATTCCATTTTGCAACAAATGAAACAACAAATTGCCCTAGAACGGCAACAAAATCCCGATTCGGTGCCGGAAAATTCTGAAGCTATTGCCGAATCGGTAGTCGCTCAAGAACTCAAGAGGATGCTTACTTCGGTCAAAATCAACCGCGCCAAGGAAAGCTTGCAGGATGAGGAAATTCGAAAAAAGGCCGAGTTGGAACGTCGCGATTTTAGTCAAGATAACGACGCCATTGCCAAGAAGCTATTGCAAGAGGCTGCAGACGATTGGAAACGGCAAGAAGCCATCAAGGCCAATATAGATGATTTTGAACAATACGACCGTCAAGCCAGGCTGGACAGCAGCAATACCAATGATAGCAACAGTAATATTCCCCAACCGGGAGCGGATCTGGATGTTTGGGCGTTGGAACGACTGGAAGACATGTTGGAGAAGACGGCCCAAGAAGGAAGTGACGTTTCCATTTCCGACATTTTAGAGGAAAATATTGAAACGCTCCAACAGAGACTGGCAAAGGCATCTCAAAAGGGCACCGTTGAACCACAAACCATGAAGGAATGGCAAATGTACCGAGCCATTGCTACCCGACTGAATGCCCGCAAAGACAATTCGGGAATGACAAATCCACTCTTGAATCAAGCGGAAGCAGACGAACAATTCATTCAAGCACAACTCAATAGATGGAGGGAGTATATTGGGAAGGAGCAAGTCATTCGGGAACGATCGGGCTTGTCGTCCGGACCCAAAATGCCTTTTGATTGGAACAAGTCGAAGCAACAAAAGGAGCAGGAGCTTGCAGCGAAATCGAGAACTCAGCAACAAACGCAAAAGACTAAGAATGAGATGCGACGACAAGTTAATTTGCAAGCCATTCAAGCATTGGAAGATTTAATACAAAAGAGTGATCCCAAGCGGGCAGAAAATCTGCAAAAACAATTGGACGCACTCAAGGCAGAATTGGAACCCTTGGATTATTTGGATGTTAGCACGGAAGATTTCGCCGAAGTTCAGGGACCTGTAGATCTGTCGGGTGTCTTTCGATCGGAACCCGAGGATATGGAAACCACGATTGAACCCGCCTTTGGTGCCAGCGAACGGGAAAGCATTGACAAAATGATGTCTGACCAAGATTACTCAATACCAGCACCATCCAAGACTGATCTAACATCGGCAGAGGCTTCAAAGGCTCCTTCTTTTTATGACGATGCAGACGACGATGACGAGCCAAAGCCAGCAGCACCAAAGACTCCCTTTTTCCAAGACATGGGCGACGACGAACCAAAGCCGGAGCCTCCCAATAGTCCCTTCTTTGCAAGTGATGATTCGGCTGGCGGTGCGTATGCCCAGGAGCTAGGGTCAATGGAGGAGCAAAAGTTGAATGCCATGTTTCGACGAGCTGGTGCTCGGACCAAGGAAGAGCAAGACACCATTCGCGCTGAATGGCAATCCTTTCAAGCTTTTGAGAAATCCAGTAGAGAAGCATCGGGCCTGTCCAATTCGGATGATGATGAATCTCGTTTGGAAGATGCCATTTTGAAGTTTAATGTTTCAGAAGTAATGACGAGTGACGGAGATATTGATGCCGCCAAAGTCTTGGCTTCCATCGGACCCCGTCCAACGCGACGAAAAAAGGTAGTTGATGAATCTACTCCAAGTGCTGTGGATCCATCCGACATTTCGGAGGCCATGTATCGATCCGTATCGGCCGTTGGTGGGGGCAGATCAAAGGATGACCCAAGCATTCGAGACAAGGAAAAGGCAGACTTTGAAGAATATATGCGAAAAGAGGAGGAAATGCGACAAAGTTTGGATAGCATTGACGATGATGCATCCAAGCTGGCATCCGAAGATGTTCCAATGTATGACGAATCCTATGCTGAAAATGCTTTGGCATCCATGGAGCGCCCAATCTTCAAGCGAAAGAAGCGCATAATTGACGAACAGGAATACAGTGACAGGGGAGGAGCACTGTATTCGGAAGACGAATCCTTGTCGGATAGTGACGATGACGATGACGATGAGATGCAAGACGACTCAAGCGATAACTGGATTCCCAACTGGCTCAAGAAAGAGCGGAAAGAGGGAGCTGGTGGTAAAACTTCTTATTTCTCAGGCAACAAAATGGACGATGTGTTTGACGACGACAAGTATGAGCACAACCTTCGACAAGTGGCAGAATACAAACAGAGGCGTTCGGGAAACAAAAAGCAAATGGGAATTGATATTTCTGACGTCTTAGGTCGACAAGAGTCTGATGACTATGCAGATTATACTTACGATGCCGATTACTTCCGAGGTCGACAAGGGGGCTGGGAAACTGCCAGCTTTGAAGCAAGAAAGTCAAATTTACTCGAGTACATTGAGCTTAGCGTGCCAGAGCTGAACAACTTGCTTGACCACAAGGAGTCATCATTTTCCAATGGTGCTTCTCAGTATATCCCTAGAATCAACAAGCCCTTTAGTGAATTCGGGGCCATCTTTAGATTGGAAGGTGTCATGTTTGACCTCACTGGTATTCACGATAAGGTTTGGGCGATGGTAGCACAAGAATTTGGTTTCAAGGTGCCACAGTTTGAAGACGTTCAAAGGGCAGCAGTCGCAAGGCCCGACTTCAGTATTCGAAGGATTTTTTGTTGGTCCAACGAGATGATGGAGGTGAACAAAATCAATGACAGATTCCTTTCAATTTTCCGTGAAACCCTAAACGAGTGGGCAGCTGAGAATGGCCTTAAGGTTGAAAACGAGCCGGCTGCTGCTCCTGTGGAGCAAAGCAGCAAAGGGTCCATGGCATTGGGAGAAGAAGTGGGCGCATCAAAAGCCGCACCGCAGCAACCGATGCAGCAGGCACCTCCCATGTTCACTGACGAGCGCACAAAAATGATGAAAATGAAGGAGTCATGGGAGAAAACTGCAAATCACTATAATTTTGCAGCACCGTCCAACGACCAAATTGCTCAATGCTCATTTTTGTCGCCAGACATTACCATTCGTAATATTTTCCGCTGGACATCCGACCAGCGAGAAATTGAATTGATTGTCTCTCACTATTCGCAGCTCCTTGCGGGAGTGGAACCTGTTGACAGGCAGCAGAATACAGCATCCGCAAAAGCGAGCGAATTGGGCGGTGGAAGTATCCTTGAGCTTCAATTTTCAGCATGGGAAAAGGTGGCGAAACAAACATCCATGCAGACTCCAACTCCAGAAGAAGTTTTGGCAGCATCTGTCTTGAACGATCCAGCAGAAGTTATTGCCCACGGTTTCGGATGGACCAAAGATCCAGCCCGAATTGAAGAACTCGCCACACTATATCGCGATGTCTTTGCCCAACTCGTGAATGAAGGTTTTCACAACCGGTCATACCAGTCGAATGGAGCTCCTGTACCAATAGAAAAACCAATCGAAACTGCTGAGCCTTCATCGACTGGACCGAGTGCGGAAGAGATCTTGCAATCCCAAATAGAAGCATGGAACGAAGTCTCTCGAGAACACGGCCTGTTAGCACCAGCGCACAGCCAAATTGAGCTTACCATGAACATGAGCGCTGGTGATTCCGTCCGTCGCTTGTTGGGTTGGACCCACAATTTTAACAATGACCAAATCAGCGCCATTACAGCATCCTACGAGAAGGCATTGCAAAAGTCTTCTTCCAAGATCTTGGAAGCGTACGGATTGGAAACGGAGCAAGTCAATACTAATGATGCCATTCAGCATCAGACAGGTTCGACCGACGTTGGTGCCGACGAAGTGTTCAAGGCTGCCACTGACGCCTGGACTAAGGTTGCCGATCGCATGTCGTTCTCTGCTCCCAGTCAAGAGCAAGTAGTGTTTGCCATGACAGTTGGTCCAGAAGAAGGCATTATTTCCGGCTTTGGATGGGCCTCTAACATGAGCGATGCCGCCAAGATTGCCGCGGACTATCGGGAAGAAATCAAACTGAAACGAGCCCAATGGCACCGAGCCGGAATGACTACCAATGCAGGCCCAAGTAGTGGTGCAAGTGTGGACGAATCCACGCCATTGGTCAAGATTATTCCTGGAGTAGAAGACTGGATCAATTCACTTCGTAGTGTGGAAATGGGTTGCGGTGTCATTTCTCACTTGGAAGAGGATCAAGTTGACATTTTGTTGGAATACGCTGGTCTTTCCAGTTTGTTACCAAAAGATAAGCGAGTCACTAAGAATCAAAACTATGATCGTGACAGCCAACAAATGTTGGGCTCCGCACTACGAATGGAACGCCGCCCGGACCATTGCGTCGTCTTTGATTCCAGTCCCCAAGCCAATATTGCCACTCAAGAAATTGACATGAGGAGTGTGGCCATGGTTGGCCCTTATCCTCGGTACGAGCTTCTTTCGGCCGATACTTCGGCGTTTAGCTTTGGCGAATTGACGGCCATGAACATTCGTCGATTGTTTGGTGAGAGAGTGTATGACCAACCCATGTTAGATGCTCTGCCACAGGCCGAACCTTTGAAAAAGACCAAGGTCAAGACCAGATTTTGGGATCCCGAAGATTAGATTAGGTTGTTGCACCACACAAGTGATGATGATGATGTAAAAGTAATAATAATATTGTAGATTATAAACATCTTTGAACATTCTAATATTTCTATTTGTGCATTTGTACAACTTGTCGTAATTGTTTTTTTTACAGACCGCCATTTTGGATGGAACTTTTCACCAAATCACCAAGGTAGTTTCCTTGGGCCGCCCAGACCCATTCTTGTGGTGTAATGGGTAGAGTGGACGATTCGGCACCTTCCAAACCTCCATTCATAAAGGTTTGCGACAGGATTTGTTGTAGGTACCCATCCTTTGCTGCAAAGGACCACTCTTGGGGCGTAAAAGGAGTTGTTGATGCCGCTGCCAAACAATCATCAATGGGCAGACCACCATGTTGGAAGAATTGCCATAGCAGAGTATTGAAATATCCTCCCTTGATGGCCCACCCAAATTCTTGTAGCGTAAAGGGCGTTGCATCCAGACTAGCACCAGCGAGCCCGCCGTTTCCATAGTATTCCTTGAGCATGAGTGGGAAATAGCCGTCACGAATGCTCCACCACCATTCTTGAGGAGTGATGGGGGCCGCATTTGGGTCGGCCAAGATTCCAACTGTCGCAATGACTGCAAACAAACCCAAAAGAACAGGTACACTGGCAACCATGGTACCAGCAATCATAGAGCTGATATGGGTAAAAAAACGACAGAGATGGAGGAAAAGGTTGGTCAGATCAACGTCGCGTGATACAGTCAAAGAAACGAGATGTTCATCATCCACAAACTTACCTCAAAACTTGACTTTGTTTGTCAATCTTGCTTCTCAAATTGGCGACAATCTCGGCGGCCGAGGTGACATCCTCACAGACTTGATCACCAAGTAGAGTTCCAGCCGAACAGGCACTCTGGATAAGAAGGACATGCTCGAGGCAGAGCTTGTTTTCTTCCAAGCTGCAGGAATCAGAATCGGCACAAGATTGGGCTTGTTCCATCCAGTCGCCATCGTAAGTGGCACCGACATTCAATGGAGCCAAACGATGAACCGTCTGGACATTGGGTGCAAAGGAAGATGCACTAGCAGCTAGTAGAAGGAGGGGAAGATGAAGTCTTGTCATGTTGGATGGTGATTGATGATTCGAAC